TTAAGATGGCTCCACCCATTGCATGTGTTACACCTAACTGAGGTGGAGTTTGGATAGAGCCTTTTTGCGCAAATACAGCAGAAGAATTCGTCGTGGCCCGGGGGAGACTCGATGCCAGCACGGGTCAGGAGAATACGGAGCAACCCTGCTGCTAGACGTTGCTCTAATGACGACAAATTTAAACTAAAACTTACCGATCCAAACAGGGCTAGATCGCCGAAATAACAGCCCTTGGCCGGATAAAATCCGGGTCAATTCCGGTACGTAGAACCGTTTGTTGTGGGAGTTATTGGCACTGGTGTTCACATATTCAGTACCTAGAGCTTGAACAGTTTTGCTTCAATTTATTTTCAAAAGGTGGCATAATTTAAACGCATTATTCATGCAAAGTCTTACCCCGATACAACCATTCTTGCTTGATTTGCGTAGTGAAAAGTGAAAGAATCAGATGGAATTTAAAATGGTGTTAGATAGGAAATAGGCGTGGTTGTAATCCGATTTCGCCTATTTTCGCACTATAGTATTGAAATATAAAGCGAATGGGTTGAAATCGATTGAGCAGATCCCAAGATATCGGTTTTCTCCTAAAAGTGTGCGGCCACTGTCTAATTTTGTACGCGATGCCTATAAAGTCATATAATACCATCCTAGAGATAAAATTTAATGTTTCTGGCGTGTTTAGTGCTTTGTTTATCGCGCTTTTACAAGTAGTATTATTTATTTTTTTTTAACAGTACCAGTGGCAGTGAATTTTGTTATTATAACTTTAGCGGTTTAGAAGATATGCACAATAAACCTATTGGGGAGCGGGACCACACCCACTTTTGTAACAATTTTTAAACTGCAGATGCCCCTCCCTAATGTGATCCTGTATAAATAAAAGTCTTGTATCTTGTTGTGGAGCTTAGTTATAGCAATTTATTTGTTTTTGATTAATGGCGTTTTGTGGGCGTGGCAGTGGTCCGATTACGCCCATCTGTAATACTAACCGTCTTACGCTACCCAGAAACATGTGTACCCAGTTTCATAAAGATATCCCAATTTTTACTCAAGTTACACGGATTTCAACTCATCTCTTCATCTTGATCATTTATATACAGTAAAAGCTCATTATTCGCGGGGTATATGTTCCATAAATATGCCGCGAAATACAGAATGTTAATTTACACTATATGATATTATAGGGGATACGTTCCTAGGTGACAAAAAAAAAACAAATATATAAAAAAAATATTTAATTGAAGTTTTTGAACATTTTAATTAATTATCTTAAGGCTTAGGCAATGGTTTAAAGAATTCTGTAATTTTTTCTTGCCTTGCAGTTTTTAAAAGGTCCTTCAATTCAGACTAATACACAGCAGTCGCATTAGCAATTTGCCTCTTAAAAATAAGACTTCGTTCGGAAGACGGATCAATGTTCATAAAGATATCGCGAAGCTCATTTGCCATTCTTAAACTTTCACTAAGATTTTTTAAATTAAATGTCACGTTTCCAGTGCTACTTGAAGCCTCTTCTTCAATGGGCTGTGGATTTAACATTTTTTCCAAGTCGGTTTCAGTCAAATCTTCATCTTGCGATCCAATCAATTCCTGAATGTCACTTGATTCTATCTGTTCGAATCCATCTCGTCCTATTCCATTCGCGATTTCGGTTATGTTTACAGTCAAAATTTGAGCTAACAGATTCTACGTCATTTTCCGCAGTCACAGCAGGCCACAGTTTTTTCCACCATGACCTCAATGTGTATGACTTCAGTTCTTCCAATGATTCTTTTATGTTTACGATGCATTTTGCTATGTCCAATTTCTTCCAGCATTCCATAATATCCATATCAGGATTGCATTCCATATTATCCAATATAATTTTGTAGGTTCGTCTAATGTAATAGAGCTTAAAGGCTTGGATTATGAATTGGTCCATAGGTTGAAGCAAAGCCGTAGTGTCACGTTTATATTTGAATGCATAATTTCAAGTTCGCGAGGATGACCTGGTGCATTATCCAAAACTAGAAGCGATTTAAAGCCTAAGTTCTGTTTTTTTTAATAAGTTTCAACTTCAGAAACAAAACAATTCCGAAACCAGTCACAAAAAATAGCGCTTGTAACCCACGCTTTCTTATTAGCACGCCAAAACACTGGCAGGTTGTCCTTGCCCAAAATACTTGCTCAGGTTTGTATCCTCCATCAGCTACTAGGTTCGCAAATTCTTCTGAATATTGTCCTGCTGCAGCAGTGTCTGCAGATGCTGCTTCTCCAACGATTTTGATGTTATGCAATGATTGTCTCACCTTAAATATTTTGAACCAACCTTCCGATACTTTAAATTCGCCATCTGTACATTCACCACTAAAACTACCATCAGGTTCTTTAAAATGAGCGTAAAGACGCTTTGCCTTCTCCCGGACCATTGAACCACTCAGGGGCTTCTTTAATTGCGGTCTTCGATCCATAGTGACAACGCCACTTCCATTTTTTCTATTGCTGGACCGCGAACAATTTTCGCTGGCAGTGAAGTTGGATCTACATACGACCTTATTTTATCTTCGGATTTTTTTTTATCGATCGTACAGTTGATTCATTGACATGGAATGAGTGAGATATGGATGCAAATGACTCTCTCAAGCAGTTCTATTTTTATTTTTGGCGGTAACACAGATTTTTTTCGTGTCGAAACTCGTTTCTCTTTTATTTAGTTGACATGTGAAAGTAAAACAATAAAACACGCAAAGCGGCTTTTACTATAGAACGGAACAGCAACATTTAAAAATATACTTTATTTATTGAGTAACACGGTTGCATTCTCAAAAACACCAATCGTGGCGAAGGCGGCTTATGTCAAAGTTCTCGGCGATATCATTTAACAACATATTTTAATAAGATCTATTTTACTCTTTTTTATTAGTCCATTTAACAAGGATACTGTGTTGGATACCTATTGGAATCTCTTTATTTTTATGTATATACTTAGTAGATCCGCGAATAAAGAAATTTTTAGCCGCGAATATAGGAATTGGGTAGCATATTTTTTATCCGCGAATATTGAAAACGCGAATAAAGGAAGCGCGAATAAGCAGCTTTTTCTGTATATATAACCCTATATCTAATTCAATTAGTTTTAGGTGATACAAACAACTGTTAGGTGAACAAAACTATTATACTCTGTAGCAACATGCTTCGAGAATATAAAAACGAAAATCATTATATGTAGTATATGAGAGTTGGAGGTAGTATTGGCCCGATTTGATATATTTTTGCCAATACCACATACAACTAACATATCACGTACTACTAAAATGCTTCATGCGTTTCATTAATATACCACACATAACACCAGCAATCTATATGGAGACGTTCGAAAATTCTGATATTTGTTATATAAGGGCTAAGTTGAGGTCTCCGATTTTACCCATTTTAGGTACAAAGATATTTTGTTATGAGTAAAACACGCTCTCTCATTTTCATTGAGATAACTCATATATTGGCCGATTTATGCGGTATAAAGTCACCTGAAAGTTCGAGAATATTTATATTAGGTATATGGAATATTGTATTGACGCGATTCAACCCATTTTTGACATTCAGACATACTATTATCAAGAAAGGTTTCTCTTCGAATTTCCCATATATCACACATATTCACCGATATTTTTGGTAAAAAGTCAACTATAGGCACTGGGGTCTACATATTCGGTACCTTGGGGCTTCAACAGTTTTCGTTCGATTTAGACAATTGGGGCACACTGAAAGGCACCTCGTGCAAAGTTTTATTTAATTCGTGCTTTATTTGGACTGGACATACTGGAATGTGAAATAATGAGATTGAATTTAAAATTGTGTTGTATGAGAAGTAGGCGTGATTTCCTCCATTTTCGCATAGTATTATAGGAATATGTTATGTACCGAATCTGGTTGAAATCGGTTTAGCAAGTCTCGAGTTAGTTTTACCTAAAAGTGGACGGCGCCAAGCCCATGGTACATTTTTCCTGTGCAATTATACATTAAACTTATTATAAATATACATTTAACACTTTATAAAGATTCACAAACCACAGGTGCCCCTCCTTAATGTGATTCGTTGTGACAAATTTTTTCTGCATCTTAATTTTTACTCAAGTTACAGCTGCACAAACAGAGGGATAGACGGACAGACAGTTACCCGACTTTCAACTCGCCTCGTCATCCTGATCATTAATCATATATAATCCTATATCTATCTCGATTAGCTTTAGGTGATGTAAACAACCGTTAGGTGAACAAAACTATTATACTGTCTAGCAAATTGTTGCAATGCATGTTGTATAAAGATAAACGGGAGAAAATCTTACAATACCATTGATGGTTTCATGAAGTGTGGGTAAAAATATATCCAAAATCGATCTTATATCGAGGGCAACAAAACTACTATAGACCAGTGATATTTTTCTGCGTTCTGCTATCTCATATAGAGAATGCGAACTAACTTTTTATACATTACGGTATAACTTTAAGCAAAGGTATTTTTCTATATCACCTCCTCAATTGGAATACAATTAATTTCACAATTCATTTGCAAGATATGTCAACTGTACTCTTCAGTTCAATCAGGTAGAGGCTTAGGTTTTGAATGTCTATTTTAAAAATATTTATACTTGCTATATATACTGCTGTAATGTACACAATGTATATTCATAAATATATGTAGTATATCAATTTATGGGGATCAATGGATTCAAATATTATAACGTAGCCTACTATATATTGGTTTACTTTTGTGTGAAATAATGCTTTTAGATTAAATTTTGAATTAAAATCGTACTGATTCAATTAGACCGCATATGTATATCTATGCTGTTAAATTTCCCGCTTCGCCTGGAACTCATTTCACACAAAAAGTTTCTTTGTTCTTCAAATTCAATCTTGAATAGAGACGTATTTGTAAGCTAAGCACATGATGTCTAGATTTTATAATTTTTGGGCTTTATATATATATATTAAATACCTTTGTTAATTTTTGTTTCAAGGTCGCATTATAAAATCAACTCACAGACAAGACAAATAAACTGCAGAAATGGTTGGTATTGCTGCCGGCTCCAGCGAGCACAGTATGTCGTCGACGAAGAATCCTATGATAAAGTATATGTTGAAAGCACGCGAGAATCATGCACGTAATCAGAAATATGACTATTCCCATGTCTTTCGTCGAAAGACACGTTTCGAAATGTTTCGGCTCTCCGTTATTGCAATGGCCATTGAGTTCGCCTATGCTGCAGAAACGTCATTCGTTTCGCCGATATTGTTACAGATAGGCATTGACCACAAACTCATGACTATGGCTTGGGGTGTTTCCCCGATAATCGGTTTCTTTATCTCACCGCTATTAGGTTCGATAAGTGATCGTTGTACACTTAATTGGGGGAGACGTCGACCGATTATAACTTTCCTGTCGGTGGGTATATTACTTGGTTTGATATTGGTACCATGGGGAAACGATCTTGGGATATTATTGGGTGATGTCGGTTATAATGTAACACCAACCAGCAATTTGAGTGCTATGAATGATGGATTAGCGGCTGCTTTGATATCGAATGATGTGGACAGTGCAGCGGGCCCACTACCGTCTAATTTCAAATTTGCTGCAATATTGACTATTTTGGGTATGGTGTTGTTGGATCTGGATGCTGATACGTGTCAAACACCAGCTCGTACGTACATGCTGGACGTGTGTATACCCGAGGATCAAGCTCGTGGGCTCACCACTTTTTCACTGCTTGCGGGTTTCGGTGGTACAATTGGCTACGCTATTGGAGGTATCGATTGGGAGAAGACGAAATTTGGTTTGTATAATTAAATTTTCTTATTAAAATTCTAAGTGCGGTATTCATGGTCGTATTTACTGGTATTTAGGTGCAGCACTCGGCGGTAATATTCCTACCGTTTTCGGAATGGTAACCATTATATTCATAGTTTGTTACTTTGTCACCATTACAACGTTTCGCGAAATTCCGCTAAACCTGATCGAGCGTGACGAAATGTTGAGACCCCTTTCAGCGTCAGCTATAAAGAAGGAAATCAGTAAAAAGAATAATGCCGTCTACTACATTAAAGAGGTATCAGTTTAACATAGTATAAAGAAAGCTGTTGTATAGGCCTTTACACTAATTAAGAGCTTTTTAAAATTAAGACTGATGTACTGGAGCTACAAAATGCCACAGCGGAAAGGAATTACAACACAATGACTCCAATGGAGAGCTATCAGAATGGTTTTTCACCGTCTATGGCAATTACAGATAAATCAAACGAGCCATCTCAATCAAATAACACAAACAACAAGAGTACTATAGCTATTGAATTGGATGAATGTGTGCATACGCCTATAACTTTGGCAAAGTATCTGAAGAGTATTTTTGTCATGCCGAAATCAATGCGCATACTCGCTTTAACGAATCTGCTTTGCTGGATGGGTCATGTCACGTATTGTTTATACTTCACGGACTTTGTAGGCGAAGCTGTATTCAATGGTGATCCAACCGTAAGTTCCCGTTTCGGTTGATCTGTAGTATGTATTTCAATAAAAAGTTTTCTGTATATATGTAGGCTTTACCCGGCACAGAAGCAGCTCAGTTATATGAGACTGGCGTTCGTTTTGGCTGCTGGGGCATGTCTGTGTATGCTCTATCCTGCTCCATCTACTCGATTTCAGTTACAAAGCTAAGGAAGCTGTTAGGGTAAGGCACATATGATTATAAACAGATTCACATTATTCGGTTTTTATATAATTTCAGTACAAAGGTTGTCTATATTACTGGTATTGTGTATTATGGCTTCGGCATGTTGATATTGGCCATTTGGCCAACCAAGTGGGGTGTAATTGTATTCAGTACTTCAGCCGGCATATTATATGGTACTATTTCCACAATCCCATACATTTTAGTGGCCAATTATCATGCTAAAGATTGTGTAAGTACTTTACCACTGCTGCTTATAACTAAATTCTATAAAGCGCTATACATATGTATTTTCTTTGACTTTCTGTAGTTTCGCATGCACAATGGTGAGTCGGTTCCACTTAAACAAGCTCGCGGTTTAGGCACCGACGTGGCCATCATAAGCAGTATGGTATTCATAGCGCAACTGGTAATCTCGCTGTCTATAGGTCCATTGATTTCCTGGATGCAGACAACGTGTGCTATATTATATGCGTCTACGTTTTTAGCATTTTTCGCCGCAATATCAGCCATGTTTGTCTTATACGTTTAAGATTCAATAGCATTACTACATAGATTAGTTACCAAAAATTACTCATGTCCCATAAAATTATTAGTTTAAAATATTTTCTTGTAAATTTATTCGAATTAAATCAATTTTAAATATTAACAGTTTTTTAATTTATTAATGTATGTACTTTGAAATATTGTAGTTGTTTTACAGGTTAGTTAGCTCCAAATTTTTTTTTCTCAAGTTAGTATAACTGTCGTGAGAACAAATACAAAGTAACAAGTCATTTTGTCAATTAACTCTTTGTTTACTAGCCATTTGAAGTTGACGTGTCAGAGTATTATTTTAATATGAGAGAAATTGTTAATCGCGCAGTGATCAGATTCTTTGTTTGAAATCTTTAAAAGTAAAGGAAATTTATAAACTTATGAAGTGTATAAGGAGTCCTCACCTTCAAAATTTCTCATTTGGAGCTTTTTAAGCAGAATAAAACTAATAATCTTGCGTCGTTTTATAACTATGGATGAGACTTAGATCAACCACTATGATCCTCAATTGAAACAAGAACGTCTACAGTGGACTGAAGGTTGTTGTTCAGCTCCAAAGCAGGTGAAGTCACAATGATCAACAAAAAAGGTTCTGACATCAGTTTTGTGAGATACGAAAGGAATTTTGTTGATTGATTATCTGCAGAAATATAACACAATCAACTCTGATTATTATTGCATCCATTTAGATCAGCTGGATAAAAAAATTTGTGAGAAAAGACCTGGTTTGCAGCACAAAATATAATTTTTCATCAAGACAATGCACCTGCTTGCAAAGGTGTTTTAACAATGACAAAATTCAACGATTTAAAGTACCAATTGCTTGAGCATCTACCGTATACACCAGATTTCGCTCCCAGCGACTGGTAAAAGAATCCACGTGAACGAACTAATACAAAGCTATACATCGAACTTTACTGTCAAAGCGAAAGTTGGAAGTAAGCGAAGCAAAGTATGGAAGTTCGAAAATCTTTATATTAAGTATATGAGGGCTTAGGGAAGTATTGACCCGATTCAACCCATTTTTGACACAAGGGTATATTACTATCAAGGAAACATTTTCTCCAAAATTTAATAACATATCACACAGATTGACCGATATTTTCCGCAAAAGCACTAGAACAGTTATGGTCAGATTTTGACAATTTTTAAACTCAAGATGACATACCTCAAAGGAACTATTTGCGCAAAGTTTTATCCCGTTATATTCATTGGTGCTTGATTTGTGTACTAGAAAGTGAAAGAATCGTATGGAGTTTAAAATTGTGCTGTGTAAGATATATAATTGAAATTCGGAGAGAAACCTTTCCTCATAATAGTATGTCTGTATGTCAAAACACAGTTGAATCGGGTCTTATACTTTCCCTAGCCACATATACTAAATACAAGGTGCGTTCCAAAGTAAACAGTAAAAAAGTAACAAAGTAAACTCTCCATCTATATGTCGACTAGTACATTAGAATCTGCTATCCATTATCGACTTCCAGTAAAAATTTTATGACATTTCATCTATTGGAAGTGAAGTTATTGAGTTTTAAGTGTCAGTATGTTTTTGTCACCGGTGCGAAAATGAGCTTCGAACAAAGAGCCAACATTAAATTTTGTTTTAAAATTGGTAAAACTTTTACCGAAACGTTTCAATTGATGAAACAAGTTTATGGCGATGAAGCATTACCGTTTCACGGAAATACTCAACTCTGGCCAAATCTGGGTTAAACCTTTTATACCGAATAATACAAGGTTTGGTATGTTTTTTTAAGCAAAACCGCTACCGTCCGAGGCATGACAACCCCGCTTTCTGGTAAATTATCGTCTTCCCTCTCTTCTTCTTCACGATCACTGTCTTGTGCTCTTCTAACAGATTTAAAATATTTATATATTATATATATCAGTCGAACCTGAAGGACGGTTCTGAAGTTCCACTCTAGGTTTTACCATTCGAACACGTTCCTCAGGTTGAGAAGTACTTATATATATTTCTGCATTACTTGCTTCCGAAAGATGGAGCACAATGCAGCAATCGACTGCTTCTTATGCAGATATTTCTGTGCCTGATATAAATTTATGACCTATATGTTTTAGTTTTTGCTTAACAGTATAATTTTCAGCATTTACCTCTGATCCAGCTTCATTTAAGAGCCTAGAAATTCCCCTGTTAGACTTGTTAATATAATTAATTATATATGAACAGCAAGTATATGCATCCAGTATATATTGGATATCCATATTTGCTCTATGGAGTTCCAAAAGCGTTTATAAAACGATCCTGTAATTTTCATTTTAGAAAAATTTTGGATTTTGTTAAACTTGATCTAAGGGCTAACAAATAGTCGTCAAAATACATATTTATTCCACTATCAGACAGAAAAAGTTTAAAATCGTATAAATTAGAAATATCTTCTGTAGTCATATTTGAATTTAAAGCGTTTTGAATTTTAAAAAAGTTTTCCTGGTGTCTTACTGAATTTTGACTTATTTCTGTAAAAGGTAACAGTATTTGCGTTGAAGGCATTGGTGGATATGGTATACCACCGACAAAACTGTTGTCCTCTTATTTCCCTAGTACAAGAATGACTGTGGTTATGCTTTTGATAACCCAAATAATTTTCTAAATGGTTGACCGAACCATGTGTAGAAATATACTTGTCAATAAAACTAATGACATCAGGGAATGCCTGAGGATCTTGAAGGGGTTGATCCTGTGAGCATTATTAAGCCAATACATGCCACGTACATGCGGGAAACCTCTCGGTTGAAACTCCACTCTCCAGTAGAAATTTGTGACTAAATGCTCTCCAAAAATGCCGGTGTTATCTTTTAAAGGCTTAAGAATTTGTCGATAGCGGTAGTTAAAATATCTAGCACAAGTAACCTTGTCTGACCGAAGTAAGCGATATGTATCAAGGGGTTGTCAAATTGTTGGCTTCCTCTTCCGTAATATCTTTAGAATCAACAGTTTTAGAGAGGATGATTAAAAGCTCAGTCCAAATTGGCGAATCATAGCGATTGCCTTTTTCTTCTCAGCTTCCCAGTCCACAGGAGAGGATCTAACACCTTTCAAAACCTTGTAACCATCATCGTGTTTAGTCAAGCTTTAAACAAAGTTTTCGTTTAATAGATTTTGTAATCATAGAACAACTTTGGAACGGTGCGCGATGTTATTTCAAAACGGCGAATTTCTGAATTATTTTGCTAAATGTTTCAGAGCATGTAGTTTGTGTCGCATGGGCAGATTGAACCAATGAACTTCTTCTTGGTTATTAAATTCTGAAATCCAGTTCTCATTAATACAATATGTATATTGTGTTCACGTGGGGGGTACAGAGGGGTATTCACTAAAAATTGCAAAGTTTCCATAATCTTTGCGCCAAACGCCTTCTTAAGTAAATTTCTATCACTCATCAAAGGAAATTGGTAGAGATGTCACAATATTGTTAACAGAAATTGGTGTATTAACAACAGCACCTTTGAGAGAACTCTGACCTTGATATCGTATTGCACGGTTTGTCATAAAAGGCAAGAATAATGAGACGTTCTTCAATTGGGGTTAAATCCTTCAAACAATCCGGTATTTCCGGAAAGTCTAGAACGTTAGCTAAACATATTTTTGGAACGTTCTTTTTAACAATCGCATTTTTGCAAGTAGCACAAAAATTGTAATTTCCATCTTCCGAAGGAAATTTTTGCATTAAAAAGAAGGCGGATGCATCATTCAGGTGACCTTGCGCAATAGTTTCGAAATTTAATTTGCGAACTTGGTGTGAAAACCATATTCCGCAGCAGCAAATACATATTTTAGTAGGGCCCTTATTTATATTTTGGAAATAAATGTCTTTGAAATCTGTTAAATTGCCACTATAATCAATTTCTATAACATTATGTTCTCTCGTTAATCGGATTCGTTGGGACGGCCTTTCGTTTTCAATTTGCCTATTGCCCGGGTTATCTCTACGAAGGCGAACTGGACTTTGTCTAAGATGTCTCTGATTCAAATTTCTTCCCTCATACCCCTCCTACTAAGCTGTCGAAGTTTCTCTATCATGCTCCTCTCTCCTTATTTCAGGATTTCTTCTTGCATGTTCTCTTTACATTTGATCACGAATGCGCTCTAAATTCCTATACTTAGGATTTCTTGCGCGAAGTTCTCTATGATCCCTAGTGTTCCTGTTTTGCTCATCATAGAGACCTACGACCTCGAGTATTTCTTATTTGCTCTTCAGAGCGAATTTGGGGATCTTGTCGCCTTGTTCTATGTTGACCACTATTTAAAACTTGCTTAGCAGATCGAACCTCGGTATCTTCGCGCCGAGATCAATGACCTCAAGTATTTCTTATTTGCTCTTCAGAGCGAATTTGGGGATCTTGTCGCCTTGTTCTATATTCAACGATATTTACAGCTTGCTCAGCAGATCGAACCTCGTGGTTTTCGCGCCGAGATCTATGATCTCGAGAGTTTCTGCTTTGCTCATCAAAGCGAATTTGGGTACAGTATTTCGATTTTGTTCAAAAGACCGTCCGTCGAAATTTTCCCGCCTGGTTCTATGTTGATTTGTATTGATAATTTGTTAGACATACGTACATCGGAATCTAATCTACAATTAGCGTGACTTACAATATCTTGTGATTATTATCTTCATATAAAGAGTGTGCACGAAGAACTTAGTAATGCAGATCTTCTACTTAATCTAGGTATAATTAATTAATGATAAATGGCTTAGTATATAAAATACTTATATAATTCCGTCCGTCCGGGTGTGAAAAGTGGGATCCTAGATGCTGCTCTCTTTCACTATAATTGAGGCCTTGCTATGACTCCTTTCCTGTTCGGTGTATAGGTACTATAGTATACTGTTGCACATATGTATATGTGTTTGCTCGCCACTGTATATAACAATAGTTTAAACACTATATAACTAATACACTGAAATTAGTTGGAATACAGCCCTTTGGTAGTCAAAAAATCTAGTGTAACTGAAACTTCAAACACAGTGTACTGCTGTTTATTATACTCTTGCAATATGTTGCTACAGAGTTTAATAGTTTTGTTGTGGTATATTTTTGTACACACAGCTTACGTGCTTTTGTATACCTATATATTACTTAGATATTCAC